CCAGGTAAAGGTCTCCACTATCAGAGGGGATTCCTGTTGGTTCTCACAATTCCGAGCCTGCCTGTGAAGGGGACGGACCCCTTTACACAGACTTCTTAGCCAGCCCCCGGTTCTGGTGGGGATGGAGGGTGGGAGCGGGGCGGGGGAGAGACCTTTCAGGTAAACGGGTCTATAGCTATTTGCAAAGGAAACGCATGTAAGTTGCCTGTAAAAATCAATGTGTCCCATCATTCCTGAGCCAAGCCATGCCAATCAAAGATCGTAGCGGTTTAAAAGCAACTAATGCTGTGAAAGGCCAGAGAGTGGGAGAGAAGAAACAACACTTAAAAAAAAACCTTCCTAATCTAAACTCCAAAAGATAGACTATTTATCCATTGAAAAGAAGAATAGAAACAGATGGCCATGAAAAAAGAGCCCTGAGAAAATTCAAAATTCTCAAAAATTAAAAACATGATTGCTAAAATGAAAACTCAAAAGTAGAAGGTCTGAGCGAAGTAAAAGATCAAACAGTGATCCAGAAGATACGGACAGAGAGATATTCCAAAATATGGAGCAAAAATGAGGGAAAGTTAAGAAACATAGAGGATTCGATATCTATCTAATAGGAGTTTTGGAAGGAGAGAACAGTGAATGAAAAGAAAGTGTTTAAAGAAATAACTAAAGATAATATCCCTGAACTGAAAAAAACCTTAAGTGTTCAGGTGGAAAAAGTTGACTCGTACCAAAGACAAGGAATTAAATACACACACACACACACACACACACACACACACACACACACACACACAGACATTTTGATTAAGGTCCAGAATGCCAAGTTTAAAAAGAAAACCGCTAAATTTTGCAGTGAGGAAAGAAAAGAAGTCTCTCATAGGAAATAAGGAATACATTAGAATCAGGAATATCTAAAGTGACATCGTTTGCTAAAACATAGGGGAGCAACGACCCCCAAACTTAAAACTACATCCAATCAGACAAGCAAATGTGAGGATAAAATTAAAATGTTAAGCACTCACAAAGTTTCTCTCTCCATATTCCCTTTCTGGAAAAATTAATCAAGGATGTGCTCCTCCCAAAGGGAGAAGGAATCCACGAAAGAGGGAGGTGTGAAGCCCAGAAGCCCAGGAACCACAGGGGGTCATGTGTGTAACAGGCCTGGAGTGCTGTCAGTTCAGATTAAAACGGGAAGTAAAAGCCCAACAAGAAGATGTCTTTAGGAAAAAAATAGATTTCATTACACACATTGAATATTTAGGAACCTAGAAATACTTAATGACAAAGTGAAGATATTTCAATAACTACATGTAAACACGCACACACACATACACACAAAAGGAAACTAGAAACTGGGGAAGACAAAACAAATGCTGTACAAGCTAGTCATGATCCGAACAGGAAGCTAATTAAAACGTGATTTTGAGCTATGCAGAGAATTTAGAAAAGTCTTTCATCGTGACACAGGTGTCATGACACTATACTTTTCTGTGGGTTCAATCGCATCACTTGTTTTTGCACTGAACCTCTATACAGAGCACAAAAGACTTAATTATAGTTGTAGGACAGAATGAAGATGTAAGAGCAATGGCAAACTTGAACAGAAATAGGGAACGGGAGAGAAGCAGAAAGACCTGCAGATCCGTGGTGACCTCACCTCACAGGGTGGCCGCCTTTTACAGAGCTTAGGAGAGCTCGGAGGGAAACCCCTTTCCCCTGCGGAGTGGGATCTAGAGAAGGGAAAGGGAAAGGGGAAAAGGGGGTTTTGTACCCCAGAGCCTGGCTTCAGCAGTGACCGTGGCTTTGGTCTTTAATCTCAGGTGGGACTTTCTGTCCTCATCACCATAGGAGTCAGATTCTCAGCCACCGCTGCTTGTTTTGAGACCCACAGCCCAGGTCCCACTCGGCTCTTACCGTTTCTTTTCTGTTTCTTGTCCTCATGAGTAATTGTCTTATTTCTGAGCCATGTTCTATCTTTTTTTAAAAAAGTTTCCTCTGTGTATATTTCGTTTGGCATTGCTTACTGTTTTCACAGAGGATGAAATGCACCTTGCTGTACCATCTTGACTGGAAAGCCATTGTATTACTACTATAATTCTTAAAATGATATCTTAAAACATGGAAAATCCATTCCTCTCTCCTTGTAGGATCTAATCTGCAAGATACTGACATTGTGTAGTTATTGGTTTTTATACACATGCAAAACCAGAACTTATCTTTCAGATCAACACAGTATCCCTTTTCTGAACTCCGAAACAGAGTTATTCCATGAGGGAAACCGAGGCACGGGAGAGGGTACCATTGATGTTCAAGTGGTTCACCCACCCTCAACCTGTGCCCCGCCCCTCCTGCCCCCAACCCCGCCTTCGGGGAGGAGCATATGCAAATACCTCAGAGTTCTGAGAGGTCCGCGTGTAATCTCCACCTGCGGTGTGTTAACAGTCGCCCGCCCGGTCAGCACATTTCTCCTTACAGGTCACCCTAAGCCACTTCTGCTTCTTCCCTTCTCTCCCGTCTCAGCGGAGATGAACAGCTGGCCCTCCTCTGCCTCCTCCTCCTCTCCCCTCTCCTCTGGGACAGAGTCCATTGGGTAGCAGGAGATCATTATTTAGTCACCCTCTAGCCGTTTCTTTCCCTGGCTGGCTCACGCTCCTTCCTTAAAGGTCTGTCCTAGGTCTTATTCTGAGCAGTTAGTCATCTGGTGGCTTTTCTTCGAAATCCTTCCTAGGCGCTTTTCCTCGCTAAGCGCTGAGGTCGGAATGGATTGGACACTCTTCTGGTAAACATTTCCAGGAGGGCTGAGACCGTAATCCTTTTCATAATTCTTAGGATTAAAACATGAAACACAATGAAGCAAACCACTGACAACTGTGCCCTAACAAATAAGGAAGCAAATACATAAAGTTGGGGGGTTGACCTCATTCTTAAACATTATCATTCTGTTTCCTGCTCTGAGCCAGCCTGTTATCTGCCGGGCTGTTTTCCTCCCAGTGTCCATTCTCTCCATTTTTTGTACTCAAACCCCCAGTTATTGGTTGGATACATGACCACTCAGAGTAAAGACTGTTTCCTAGGCTCCCTCATAACTTGATGGGACTCTGAGACCAAGTTCTGACCAATGGAATGTTAATGGAAGTGTTGGATACAACTACTGACAAATATTTTTAAAGGGTAAGGGCAGGCCCTTTCTCCCCCTTTCTCCTTCTCACTGCCTGGAAAAGGAGATCAGATGGTAGGGATCCCTCCAGGGCCATGAGGCAACTCTCTGTGGATGGAGAGCAATACAACGAAAGGCCCCCGGATCCAGATAATCACGTACTGGTTAGAGCAGCCCTGGCTACCTTCTGGCTTATTTAGTGTGTGAGAGAAATTAAATTCTATTTTCCTAAACTGCTGGTGTGTAAGTGTGTGTGGCGGGGAGGGTATTTATTTATTTCATGAAGCTAAACCTGATTAAGCGGCCCTTGGAATGTGTTTATATATGTTTCGTTTTGTTTTGTTTCGCTTGCAGAGGATGATACAGACAGAGAATATCCAGCTGGTTGTGTTTTTCTCTCCTCTGTGTATGAGCAGCTCAGGTGTACCAAATGCTTACTATATACCAGGTATTTGGTATGCCTGGTTTCATTGAATCCTGACATAAACCTAGGATGCTATTCTTATTTTCACTTTAAATGAGAGTACACTGACACCCGGAGGTTAAATAACCATGCTCAAGGTCACATCCCACAGCCTGACCCTACAGCCCACCCTCCTGGCATGTGAGCATTGATTCTGTTCCCCAAAGACCTACCGCAAAGGTGTTCATAAAAGTTACCATGCGTTGAGTCCTTGCTCCATGCAGGCACTGTGCTGGGACAGAAAGCAAATTCTAGAAAGGCTGGAGTGAATTGGTATAGGGGAAGCAGAGCAGGCAAGGTAGCTAGGGGCTCAAATTGTGTGTTTCCAAATTCAGAGCGCCTTTCAGCAGTGCTGTGTAGTGCAATATTCCTCTTTCCACTGATGCATTTTGAAATTGTGATTGATAGATGCATTCTTTTTGAAGCTCAGTAATCCAGGATTCTTTCTTGTTCTTTCGTCTAAATTATTCTCTTAAATGGCTTCACCTGGACTTTCCCTTTGTTTTATGTTGAGAATATTGATGTCATAAGAATCTTATTCATCACATGCTGATATTAATTCTGGAAAGTAATTACTCTGAGGTACATTTTATCTTACTCACATCCAAACTAATTATGAGACGATAGAATATGAAGTATGATAAAAATACAGTAATTTATCAGCTGTTGACCTGGAGATATTATACATGACTTAAGCTACAAATAAAGTCAAATGAAAGATTCGTTAGTGTCACTTTCATAAACTAACAGACTAACATTAAAAAATCATCCCCTTTTAGACTAACAACCTTTGGAAAATTCAATACTCAATATAGTCAATAAACTATTGATTGATGACACATGAAAATAACCGTTCTTATTTATTCTCCTTTAGCTGTTCTTGAACAGGAGACAACTCTTCATTTCCACGTTGAACAATTTGTAAGGTGAAATTTCAGTCCAAATTAAACTATCCTTGTGAAATTCTTTCATAAATTTTTACACTCCTTTCTGGCTTCTTGAATAATCAACCTCACCATCTTTTTAATTGAGAATTATAGATAAAAGCATGACTCAGAGCTGAATATAAATCCTACACATTGTAACTTTGAACCAATATTGCAAATTAGATTCTCTGAGCCATTTTTTTTTCATGCTGATGCACTATAATGACACAAATAATATCAGTTGCGGGATATAAGAACTACTTTTCATAGGAAAATTGTTCATAGGGCTTTGAACTACCTAACTAGTTCTTGAATATGGAAGCAGTATTGTTTCTGTAGTACCATGCAATTGTAAGAAGAAATGGTGAAGCATAAAAACAACTTAAAAAGAGACAAACTCTATAGTTTTGATCACTATTAAAAAATAAAATAAAAATTCTATATTGCAAAAATGTGGCATTCAAAAAAAGCAAACTACAAATTTGTAAAAATAAATATTTAAGACAAAAATATAGAGAGCTCATACAAATAACTTAAAAAACCGTAGGACACCAACAGAAGCGTGGGCAAAGACTTCAGATACCTAATTCACAAAAGAAGCGTTACCAATAGCTAATAAACTTAAGAAAAGTTACTCTCGAAAACAAAAAGATGCAAATTAAAATGCACAGTGATTTTTAAATATCTCATATAAGCAAATATTTTAAAATAATGCACCATTAAATAGAAGTGGTTGGAGTGGACAGCCTTGCTTTGTTCCTGATCTTAGGGGGAAAGGATTTGGTCTGAAACCATTAACTGTGATGCTAGTTGTACATTTTTCAGATTCTCTCTTTTTTTTTTTCAAACTCCCAGTCCAGCTCTCAGATGATCTTTTTTATTTTTTTCAGTTTTTAAAATAATTTTTATTGGAGTATAGTTGCTTTACAATATTGTGTTAGTTTCTACTGTACCTCAGATGCTCTTGATCGGGTTGAGAAATCTTCTTTTTATTCCAAAATTCCCTTCTGTTCTCTATTTTGACAATAATGCTCAAGGTTGGCAACAATGCAACAAGACACGATACTCTGCTGTGGGAGTGTAAGTCTGCACACTCTCTAGAAATCAAGTTAGCAATATGTATCAAATATTTTGTGCCAGATTTTATGTCAGTCCTTTTGTTTCTATACAGTTGACCTAAGAAAGTCATCTGATACATGGTTAAAGATTTATTTACAAAGATATTCATTGGAATGTTATTCACAATAGTGGCAAATTGAAACTAACGTAAGGTCAATATTGGAGGATGGTTAGGGTAATTATGGCCAAACATAAAAGAGAATAATATGCAACTATTCAATTTCAATTTACAGAGTCTTTTTAATGCCATGCGAAAGTGCTTACAAGTGGGGCAAAAGTATGATAAAGACAAGATCTGGCCCAGGAACTTGGTTTCAGAGTCAAGGAGGTGCGATGAATGGATTTGAAGTGACAGGGCTCTGAGATGCTGATCAGGTACATGATGTGGGGACCAGAGATCGAGTAAAGACCCAACGTAGGGTCACAAAACCATAACTCTGCATTCAGTGGGGGAAGAGGTAGAATGCAATGTAGGGAAAAAGAAACAGTCATCAGTGAGGAAAGGCAGAACGTGGAGGCGACAGAGACGGCGCTGCTTTAATACGGAAAGCAGAATGTTCTCCTCCGTAAGTCCGCCCATCCTCAGCACCAGAGTGAGATCCAGCACTCCAGAGCAGACTCTCTTCAAACTGCAGACGGAAAAGACTGGAAGGAAATACACCAAAACGTTAACCATGATTTTTGTCTGAATGGTGAATTATGGATGATTCTAATTTCTTTCTTCATGTTTTCAAAGTTTTATAATGACAGAGAAGTATTTTTAAGAATTTCCGACCATAGAAAATCAGCTTTTTAATTCCCTGTGCCAAGTTCAGAAACATACTATAATGGGACAAAATAACTAAAAGATGACAAGACTTCAGGGTACATCCTCTTAATCTCCGGGCCAATTGCCAGTTGCTTTATAGATGAACTTTCTCCCCAAGTGTCCTCAAGGCACTGCAGTCACCTATGCCGAGTTGAAACCGTGTCAGATATGTTTCCTTAAACAGTTGTTTCAGGTGTAGCAGTCCATGGGCAGTTTTTTAAATAACTAGTCTTAACATATTCATTCAGTCATTCACTGTGTTCCCACTAGATGGTGAAAGTATTACAAAGACGAAGTAACTATGTCTACATGTCTTATGTTCAAAGTCCTTATGTGGCACGTAGGCTAGAAGCAGAACAAATGAGCAAAGCAGGAGTTTTAGAGAAGCGAAAGAATACTTCTGCCTGAAGAGATCAGGGCAGTCTTCACAGTGGAGGTGTCATTTGGACTTTACCTTAAAGTAAACGGGGTTCCAACAGGTAGAGAGGGGAGGATGCCGTGATCTCCCTGAGGGCAGGAACTGTATTTATCTTGTTCACTACTTATTCTGTAGCTACTTATTCTGTAGCTACTAGCTCGTTCCTGGTGCTTAGTCGGTGTTCAGCAAACGTTTATTTAATGAACATTTGTGGGCAGGGTAGAGAGAAGAGACACATAATCAAATTCTCAGCAGTGGGGAAACAGGTTTATTCATACAAAAGCTACTTTTCTTTTGTGGAAGGATAGCTGGGTGAGGAGGAACATTGGAATTTAAACTGGAAAGTTATATACGGAGTCCAGGTATGCTAGACTAAGGAGCACACGGTAGGTAATCATGATGGTGGACTGGAAATGTTCATCTGGAGTGGTTTTCAAAATCAATGGAATAGATCAAAAGTGAAGAGACCAAGTGTAAATCTATTAAAAGAGTATTGGGGAGGGACTTCCCTGGTGGTCCAGTGGGTGAGACTCCATGCTCCCAATTCAGGGGTCCCGGATTCAATCCCTGGTTGGGGAACCAGATCCCGCATGCTGCAACTGAGACCCAACACAGCCTAAATAAATAAATATTTTTTTAAAAAAATAGAGAATTGGGGCTTCCCTGGTGGTGCAGTGGTTGAGAATCCACCTGCCGATGCAGGGGACGCAGGTTCGTGCCCCGGTCCGGGAGGATCCCACATGCTGTGGAGCGGCTGGGCCCGTGAGCCATGGCCACTGAGCCTGCGCGTCCGGAGCCTGTGCTCCGCAACGGGAGAGGCCACAGCAGTGAGAGGCCCGCGTACCGCGAAAAAAAAAAAGAGAACTGGGGAAATGTGGATGCAGACTGTGTATTTGATGTTAAAGAATTATTGTTTTTTAAAATTTTATTTTATTTACTTTATTTATTTATTGGCTGTTTTGGGTCTTTGTTGCTGCACATGGGCTTTCTCTAGTTGCAGTGAGCAGGGGCTACTCTTCGCTGCGGTGCACGGGCTTCTCATTGTGGTGGCTTCTCTTGTTTCAGAGCATGGGCTCTAGGGCGCATGGGCTTCAGTGGTTGTAGCACGTGGGCTCTAGAGCGCAGGCTCAGTAGTTGTGGCGCATGGGCTTAGTTGCTTCGCGGCATGTGGGATCTTCCCGGACCAGGGCTCAAACCCGTGTCCCCTGCATTGGCAGGCAGATTCTTAACCACTGCGCCACTAGGGAAGCCCCGAGGAATTATTGTTCATTTAGGTGTGATAATAATATTTTGGTGATCTCTTAAAGAAATACAAGGAAATATTTACAGATAAAATAATATGATGTCTGGATTTACCTCAAAATCATCCTGGAGGGTCCAGGGGTAGGGGCACCGATGAAACAAGCATGGCTATGTATTGATAACTGCCAAACTGGGGGATGGCAAAGGAACTTTCTGGGGTGATGAGAAGGTTCTATATATTGATTAGGGGTGGCAGTTAAACAAATACATACATTTATCAAAACATCGTACACTTCAAATCCATGCATTTTACCATATGTAAATTTTTTGTAGAAAAATTGGGTGATGGGTAAATTGGGTTGATTTTACTATTCCCTCTACTTTTTTTTTTTTTTTGCGGTACACGGGCCTCTCACTGTTGTGGTCTCTCCCGCTGCGGAGCACAGGCTCTGGATGCACAGGCTCAGCGGCCATGGCTCACGGGCCCAGCCGCTCCACGGCATGTGGGATCTTCCCGGACCGGGGCACGAACCCATGTCCCCTGCATCGGCAGGCGGACTCTCAACCACTGCGCCACCAGGGAAGCCCCCCTCTACTTTTTTATATGTTTGAAAATTTTCATAAAAAATAAAAAAGAAAAGAAAGAGAAGAAGGAAGAAATCTGCTGAAGCATTGGAAGCAGGAGAATTACTTAAATTAGAGCGGAGGCATGGAATGAAGAGGCACAGATTAAGAGTGACACCTTTTCAGGTTCAAACAGGTGATGGATCGCTGGATGGTGCAGGGTTCTGCCTCACTGGAGCACTCACACGGTGTTGCGGAACTGCAATTGGCTTGGGTTGCTTTAACCGAGGCATTAAGAGGAGACAGCACAAAATAATGTATTCGGTATTGTCTGATGCAGCTCCCATTTTCTGCAACCAATTCCATTATCAGCATCATCAAAACGCCTACTTGATATTCTTATCCACAAAACTGTTGCTATGTCATCTCTGAAGGAAGAAAAAAAAAAGAAGAAAATTTCTTTTATGTGCTTTGGTTATAGGATTGAGCCTTTCTCAGGCCATTTAATAGTAGACCCAGGAGGAAAGGTATTTAGGGCTTTCCAGGGTAGGCCTAATCCTGAAGAGGTCTGGCCCGGTAATTACTGTGCCCTGAGTGCCTTCTTCTGTTGGCCCGGTAATTACTGTTGCCCTGAGTGCCTATGTCCATGGGATAGACCATATTGCCATTTTCATGTCTGTTGATTTGTTTGTTTTGGTTTTTTTTTTGCAGTACGCGGGCCTCTCACTGTTGTGGCTTCTCCTGTTGCAGAGCACAGGCTCCGGATGCACAGGCTCAGCGGCCGTGGCTCACGGGCCCAGCTGCTCTGCGGCATGTGGGATCTTCCCGGACCGGGGCACGAACCCGTGTCCCCTGCATCGGCAGGTGGACTCTCAACCACTGCGCCACCAGGGAAACCCTGTTGATTTGTTTTTATTTTAATATTTGAATGGGAGCAATCTGTCTGGGAATATTTTCGTTCAGATTTGATATTATGATGACTAAAAATGACTATCAGTGGTGCTTAATGTAAGTTTATGATAACATTCTGAATTACATTCAAACGAGTTAAACATACTGCCCCGGAGATATGCTGACAGGATGGAAAGAAGACATGACCAGAGGCAGCTCTGGCCTGGAAGTGGGTCGTTCCCCTAATCCTACCAAATGGATGCGTTTACCCAGCATCTGTTCCTTGCTTCTTCCCTTCTCCTTTTTTCAGAACTTAAATTTAATCTTCTGGCTCTGAAGATCAGAAGTCTGACACATGTCTCGCTGGGCTACACTCAAGGTCTGAATGGGGCTGTATTCCTTTCTGGACACTCCAGGAAGGAGTCCCTTTCCTTGCGTTTTTCAGCTTTGAGGGCCCACCCGTTTTCCCTGGCTTGTGCCCCCTTTGGCCATCTTCAAAGCCAGCATCCTAGCATCTCCCTGACCCCGCTTTCATCAACACATTTTGCTTCTTCCCTTCTGACCGAATGCTTGCTTTGGCCAGGGTGGTCTTCATCCCTCAGACAGCCTTGTGCCTCAAGGGGACAGCCCAGCTCTGGGGGTGAGCCCGCTTAGTCAAAGCAAATCCCCCTACCTCCCGCCAGTGATCTGTTCAGAAACTAACTTTTGTCCATTTCCTCCCCTTAACTGTGAACTCCATGAGAATGTGGATGGCCATCTGCTTTGCCAAGCATCTGGAACAGCGCCGGGCACGTAGTTCTCACTTAATAAATGAATTTATCTTTTTCATTCCTCTTCAGCAAACTTTAACTGATCACCTGTTTTATGTCAGGGACTCTTCTGAGTGCTGGGGATGAGAAGATGTATAAGACTCCAGGAGTCTAGCGGGGGAGACAGACGATTCCCTAACAATGCGCCGTGATAGACACTGTCATGAAGTTGAAGGGAGAAGGCTGAGTGGGCACTGCCTGCAGGAGACGGGCAAGGCTTCCCAGCACCTCCGACATCCAGCAGACCGTGGAGGATGAGCAGAGGTTTGCCAGGTGAAGAATTAGGGCAAATGCAGTGACCACACAATTTGTTGCCTAAGCCAGGACACTTTGGAGAGCGAAAGGAAGGCTATTAGTAATTACACCGAGCAACAGGTGTAAGCAGAGACTGTTCTGGGCAAACCAGGCCACATGCTCCTTCTTGGCGGGAGGAGCAACGTGGGCGAAGGCAGAGGTGGCAGAAGCGCGAGGGGAGAGGGAGACCTCAGTGTGCTGGGATGAGAAGTGGGCGCGGTTGGGGAGGAGCTGGTGTGGCAGGTGGGCGCCAAGGCGAGGGACCTATCTTGGCAAGCAGAGAACTTCAGCTTGGTCCTGCAGCCCTGGGGACCTGTGGAGCTTCTCGGCAGCAGAGCACCAGGACCAGGTTTGCATCTGGGGACAACAGCTCTGGCTGTCCCAGGGAGAGAGGCCCAGAGGGACCCAGACTAGAGGAGGGAGACCAGAATGGAGGCTGGTGCGGTGGCTTGTTAGGGGATGCTGGGCCCTGATCTCAAGCGGGATGGGAGGGCGGGTCCCAAAGGAAGCACATACACTAGGTGTTCCTGAGGTGGAACTGATGGAAGGGCAGCGGTGGGAAAGCAGAGACGGGTGATGCTCAAGTGTCCAACCTCGGTGACTGGTGGCTCCTGCTGGGGACACGCAGAAAATGACCTCCGCTGCCTGGCAGACTCAGAGTCATCGCGGAGCAGGTACAGGAAGCTGAACCTCGCAGGGCCAAGTGCCCAGCCAAGCGGGCAAGCCAAAAGCTAAGTCACTCGATCCAAAGGGTCAGCACAGGTGGAAAAGAGGGAGACCGGGGAAGCCTGTGAAGGAGAAGCACTAAAGCAGACGGGCAGAGGGGCAGGGGCCGAGGCCTGGTTTCAAGTTGAGCCACAGGCATACCTGGCGTGTCTGTAGCCTCCGCATCCCGGTCATGCTTCAGAATGGAGCAGGGATCCCCGGGCAGACCCCTGGGAGCGCTGAGGAGACAGCGCCTAAGGGTGGCAGAAGAGGTGAATCTGGAGGCAAGTCAACGTAACTGAAGTGATCTGTGGAACCAGAGGGCAAAGGAAGTCCGTATAAAGGAACACTGGCGTTATCTGTAAGTCCTTGGTGAGTTTTTTTAATGATTGTTTTTTATTGTGCTAAAGTATATGTAACATAAAATGTACCATTTGAAGCATTTTTAAGTGTACAGTTCAATGGCATTAAGTACATTCACATTCCTGTTCAACCATCAGCACCGTGTACACCCAAATCCTTTTCAACAGCCTCAACAGAGACTCTGTACTCATCACACACCAACTCTCCGTTCCCCCTCCTCCCAGCCCCTGGCTTCCACTGTTCTACTTTTTGCCTCTAGGAATTTAACTATTTTAGATACTTCTTGTGAGTAGGATTATACAGTATTTGTCCTTCTGCTACTGGCTTATGTGTCCTCAAGGCTTAGCATAGTGTCCTCAAGGCTTATCCATATCGTAGCATGTGTCAGAATTTTGTTCCTTTTTCAGGCTGAATAATATTCCATTATATATATTTGCCATAGTTTGTTTATCCACTCATCCGTTGATGGACTCTTGGGTTGTTTCCACATCTGGCTATTGTGAATTCATTACTCTTTGAATCAAGCAACCACACACTGTTCTGAATCATCTTGTTGAGGAGAAAAGAGGAAAGGATCCAGGGAGGCAGCCAGGCACTCTTTTATCTCACACATCCTGGGGGCCAGCTGTGGTTCTGAGTCCTTATGTGCAGTATCTCATTTAATCTCCCCAACAACTTGATGAAGTAGGGATCTTCCCTTCGTATAACGAGGAAACTGGAGCTTAGAGGGTAAAGGGCTTGTTCAGGATCGCAGACTGGATATCCTCTGTGGGTGGAGGGGAGGGACTCGGCCAAGGCGGCACCCTAATTCTTAACTTGAAGCCCATTGGTATCTCGGGAGTCGACTACTACTAACAACCGTAGAGCTGTATAAAATCTGTTTTTCCCTTATTTATTATTTTCGTCGTCTATTTCCTATTTCTTAGTAATGATTGACAGTGGAATCCTTAAAATAAAAAGCTCCTTGCTGCTTACAGGCAGCAAAAACAAGGAAGCAGTTCCTCTGGGGACACTGTGTGCCCAGGTTGTCAGAAGGAGCAGCCCTGGGCTTGAGCCTTGGAAAGATGGGCATGCGTTTCCCTGTTACCTGGAAGACCTATTCAAAGATATTCTGGTATCATCTGTCGTTTGTGTATCCTCAGGTTTTGTGTCAGAAAGCAGATATAGCTGCTCCTACGTGTAACTGTTGTTAAAAGGAAAAAAAAGTAAAATTTCTACCACGCGTAGTAGAATTGACCAGAAGGAATTGGGAAAGGCTAGGGGAAAGAAAAAAACAAGCCCTACAAAAACACCCAGAAAAGGTTAAGTTGCCTGGGGAGATGAGCACTCTTCCTGTGCTGGGGAAAAGCACAGGACCGTTCTGTGGACAGGTGTTGGGTAATGGTGGTCATGTGATCATGGATCACGTGATCACGTGAGGAACTGTGATCACTTCACCTCGTTTCTGTTGGGGCCTGGAGGATGGAGCGCCAGGAACAGAGAGGACTTTCTGGGCTCACTTCCCTTCTTCCCATCTCTCATTTCCTCCACAGCCTCTTCCTTTTGACAGAGCAGGAGAAACACCCATTGCTAGCCCTCCTGAAGCAGGCAAACGAAAGCTTGCCCTTCTGTAAAGAGACTGTTATCTTCCTTCACTTGCAGAGTCTGAGCCAGTGCAGGCAGAAGAGCCCAGAGTCCTAAGGAAGGAAGTGTCAGAGTTCAAGTGTGTGTTCTATTTAGGCAGAGACAGACCAGAATTGAACTAGGCTTGCACTAAGTTACTTAAAAAAATTTTTTTTTTGGTTTGGATTGTGCCTAGTAACTTAAAAATATTGTCGCATAACTGTCTTTTATTTAAGTTTAAAAAAATTCAATTTACTTAATTTTTGAAATAGTTATACATTTGCATGTTTGCAAACTCAAAAAGCATGAAAAGTATGCAGTAAAGTTCTCTCTTCCATCTTGTTCGCCAATTCACCCATTCCCACTTCCACAATCCTGGGAAATCACCATGAACTATTTCTTGTATGTCTGACAGGAGTTTCTGTATGCTAAATATATTTTGGAATTTTTGCGTTTAACATTGCTATGCTCTGCTGTTTCAATAATTTTTAAAAAGAAGAAGTGGGAGCCATGCCTGTTTGTCTCAAGTGATGACAGAGCTTGTGTGTCTCAGGAAACCCCCAGTGGGTATGCTGCCCCGTACTAGGTGCCCTAGGCAGGCTCCTCGAGGTCAAGTGCCCAGGAGGCCCGGTGGGCGGGAAGAGGCAAAAATGGCAGTAAAATCACAAGTTAGAGCCGAACGTTTACAATACAAACTCCAAGTGTATGGTTAAACTCTGGCAAATCATATAGAAAAGCCACCCTGACATTTTTGAGAAGCAGGTGGTTAAGGAGAGGGCAGGATGAAGTGAGAAGCTGTCTCCAGAGGAAAAAACCTAGAGGCACAGTAAAGAAAATCAGAGCTGTGATTGGGGAGGTTGCAGATGCTTGAGACTTTCTGGAGTCCAGAAAGTACATTTTCTTTTCTTTTCCTTTTTTTCTTTTTTTTTCTGATGAACTTTCTCATAAGAGCTGAGTAAATGCTGAACTGAAAATGGGAAACTCCAGACGGAAGGCAGTCAGAGAAACAGCAGAGTATCTGCGAGCGCTTTTTTTTTTTTTGGCGGTACGCGGGCCTCTCACTGTTGTGGCCTCTCCTGTTGCGGAGCACAGGCTCCAGACGCGCAGGCCCAGCGGCCATGGTTCACGGGCCCAGCCGCTCCGCGGCATGTGGGATCTTCCCGGACCGGGGCATGAACCCGTGTCCCCTGAATCGGCAGGCGGACTCTCAACCACTGCGCCGCCAGGGAAGCCCTGCAAGTGCTTTCTGAGACTTCACATTCATTGTGTTGATCAGTCAAGATAAATCAGCTCTATGTACCAGGATTCTTCTGTTTTTATTTGCTCTGGAGGCGGACATACTTAAAGTGTAGGTGTTTTATCCGTTTCTGTTCATTCACTAACATTTATTTATTGAGCACTTACTGTCCTTTCTCAGGCCTTGGGAACAGAGCTCTAAAATAGGGTTCCAGTTCTCTTGAGCTTACATGAGAGGAGGGGGGATCTGGTGGCATCAGGGCCAGAGGAGGTGACCCTGTAAAGGAGGGGGAGTGTTCCAGGGAGAAGGAACGGCCAGAACAAACGCTCAGAGGTGGCATGGAGCTTGTCGGTGCTTGAGGAATAAGACAGGCAAGTGTTACTTAAAAGATATAATTATATTACTCTTTGAGATTTCCCAACTTTTCCCATTGGATCAGGTGACCCTACTCTCTAGTAAGGGGTAGCATTTTGGATGACCCAAAGAAGAAACAATCACTTTCTTCTCTGAACCCTTATAATACTATAAGTCACACAACTGGTACTTAAAGTGATTTGTGTACAAGTCTTCTCTCTCAACCAGATGGCATGCTTTTTTACTTTTTCCTTTTTTTTAAAATTTATTTTATTTTTTGGCTGCATTGGGTCTTCGTTGCTGCACGCGGGCTTTCTCTAGTTGCGGCGAGTGGGGGCTACTCTTCATTGTGGTGCATGGGCTTCTCATTGTGGTGGCTTCTCTTGTTGCAGAGCACGAGCTCTAGGCTCGCAGGCTTCAGTAGTTGTGGCATGTGGGCTCTAGAGCGCAGGCTTAGTAGTTATGGTGCACGGGCTTAATTGCTCCACAGCATGTGGGATCTTCCCGGACCAGGGCTCGAACCTGTGTCCCCTGCATTGGCAGGCGGATTCTTAACCACTGTGCCACCAGGGAAGTCCTGATGGCACGCTCTTTGAAGGAACAAGCTTCTTTGTTCCCTGTTTCCAACAAGACTTCACGAGTCAGAGGTACTCAACAGATATGTATTGACTAAAAAAAACAATTCAGATGCACATTGCTGAGTAATTACATGACTGGAATGGATCATGTTTGTATCCAGGGTTGTTGCTTTATGGCTCTGTCTCTCTCTGTTCTCCCCTTTTCACAGAAGAAAGGGGTGGCTGATGGAAGCATTTGAAAAGGTAGCCCCTTCTCAAGTTAAGCTCTGCAACTTTTGCACTTTTCCTAAACAGCCGGGATGCTCCCCAGCCTCCTGCAGTCAGGCCCTGCTTAGTGAGGAGCTAAGTACAAAAGAAAATATTCCAGTTTACCTCTGTGCTCACCGGAAGTCAAGGTTTTCTCCCCAGGTACCTACCTGTTAGTTTGATGTCTCCTTGAGATTCTCTGCCATGTTTAGCCTCAACAAATTCCAGGGTGGGAATCCAAATGGAGATTATGAAGAACAAGAAACAGGTTTTCAGGTAGGCTGATTCTACCACTTAGTACTGATGGATATGATGGTAGAGGTTCCAGAGACCATAATCCCTGCTGGTGTCCCTGTGGGTCAGATTGTCCCCTTAACGTTTCACACTCATCGCCACAGACTCCACAGAACACCCAGTGCCGCAGCCTTAGACGTCCCTCTGGCTCCTACGGGTCAGTGCCCGTGACTTTCCCTCTCCTTCCCCTCCCCCGCCACTGTCCATCCTATTCTTCTGGATTATGAGGCTGTCCTCATCTTGTCCCTCCTGCAGGCAGGGTTAGTCTCACCTGCCTCAGAGCTGACTGCACTTAGTTCTCCATTCTCCCAGCTCATTTTCCATAAAACTCATCTGTCTACTCCCTGAGCGCACAGATTTCTCTTAATCATCAGTAGATGACCAAAAGATATCTGTTTTAATGAATGAACTCATTTTTCAGTTTTAAATAGAATGTAAAGGGGCTGTGCCTTTGGCCCTCTTTGAAAACCTAGATTTAAATAACGACAAAGGTTTAGATACATTAGCTATATGCTATGCTGCCCGGCAAATCAGAGTCATATATCCATAGGGCATATGCTTTGACTTTACTCATCTGAGTTAGAAATCAGCCTTGAAAAGTAAGTCACTGATTTGTTGATTCAAACCAACAAAAGAACATCACTGTTTTGCTTCACATCCACCTCTGGACAGCTGGATGATGTTAATTAACGCCACCAAGAAGGTTCATTCATTCAGCTGTCAACGAGCAGGGTAGAGAAGGGGAGAGACCCTGGGTTTTCAAGTCAGAGTGTCTGGGTATGGCCCCTGGCCCTGCACTGGCTGGGCAGGGCCATGGTGAACGTGGTAAAATGAGCACAAAATGATCCAGCTCCAAGGGCCCTGGGAGGTTACATTGGAAAATGCATCTAAAATACTAATCAGGGGCTTCCCTGGTGCCACAGTGGTTGAGAGTCTGCCTGCCGATATAGGGTACACGGGTTCGTGCCCCGGTCTGGGAAGATCCCACATGCCGTGGAGCGGCTGGGCCCGTGAGCCATGGCCGCTGAGCCTGTGCGTCCAGAGCCTGTGCTCCGCAACGGGAGAGGCCACAGCAGTGAGAGGCCCACGTACCGCAAAATAAATAAATAAATAACAAAATAAAATAAAATCCTAATCATGCGACTGGCACACGGCAGAGGCTTGTTATATCAGAGAGAGTAAACTGGCAGCCTGAGGGCGGTACTTGCCCATCCTGACTTTTAAAATGTTGATACTGAATGTCCATTCAAAGCTCTCCAGTCTATGCTGAGTGCCAGGCACTTTTCTAACTGTGTCTCCATGTTTTATCCTTGTCACACCCCTCTGGGGTAGAAATAATCATTACCCTTATTTTCCAGATGAGGGAAGTGAGACAAAGAAATACTTATCTGTGTTTATTTTGTAGCTGTAACCTGGTCCCAAAGGAGTGAGTGCCTCTCAGCCTCCTTCTGTTAGAATCAGAATGAGGCACTTTGACTTGAGCTGGGTTAGCAGGGCGGATACAAGTGTGGCCTCTGGAGCTGGGTCAAAATCCTTGTTCCATCATTTATTACTTGTGCAACCTTGGGAAAGTTCTCTCTGTGCCTCCGTTTCTTCATCTAGAAAATGGGGACGATAATAGCGCCTACTCCACTGGGTTGTTATGGGGATTTGAGGAAATGCTTGGCGCACGCGTAATTCCTTGATAAGCACTCCCTGTGCTGTGGCTGTCTTCCATGCCTCTCCACCCCCTCCCCACCACATCCTTCCTCGCCCCATCAAGGGCAGCACAGCATTTCACCCATTGATGTCAGCTGGTGCAAACCCAAATGGCTTCGTGGAAAAGAGAGGTGGCAGAAATATATGAAGTGGCACGTGGTTAAATGGAGGCAGGAAGAGAACAGAAAAGATGAAGTGGCTTGCAAGGAACTGGACCGGAAAGGATTGTGTAAAATTATTCAAACAAAACCATTTAAAAACGTCGTGCTAACCAAATGGAATGAGCTTGCCCTAATTTGTTTACTTGCTTGGTCCCTGAAGTTATCTGGGTGTAATTTGTAGCTGATACACTCAGGAAGGCCTGAAAGAGGTCAGTTGTACACAAACTCATCTTTCCCTACGTACAATGAAGCTCTTTGTAAAGCTGATACGGTTGCAGGTAAAAACTGTATTCTAAGTCTAGATGATCCCTTTCAAGTTCTGGGGGTACACGTGTGACATTTCAGCTATATCTTATCTTCATCTGCATTACATATGGTAAAAAACAAACAAACAAACAAACAAACACCCCAGTGCATCACCTAGCACATGGAAGGTTCTCTCTTTACGTTGTGCCTTTCCATTCAACCTTAACGCTGGGGAGGTGAGGCATTGGGAGGTTTGCTATTAGGATCTGTGTTATCACCTGTGAACTTATTTTTTAAATTTTTGAAAATTTAAAATCTTTTGGCCACGCCATGCGTCATGGGGGATCTTAGTTTCCCGACCAGGGATCAAACCTGTGTCTCCTGCATTGGAAGCGTGGAGTCTTAACCACTGGACTGCCAGGGAAGTCCCTCATCTGTGAATTTAGATGGCTATAACATCAACTAAACAACTTCAGATAATTCTACCAGAAATCCATTTAGAAAAGCCCTTGTTCTTACATACACTTACGTGTAAACCTGGTGGCCTCTGTTCCATGGACAAGGAAAGATCTTGGTGGGCAGCCTAGATGGAGATGGGGCTCAAATTCTGACACATTAGACCTGTTCAACGGGACAGAATGACAACTAGACTTTCATCCAAATAGATGAGACAGATAGGGTCCAGTCTGTCATGGGCATGGCAACACTGGTAGGAGGCCCAGGCATGCCCTGGAGGTCTAAGCAGGATGGAACATAGCAAGAAACAACTCAGGTGGGTGATACTTCCAAGTCTAGGCAGGGAAATGGGGAGGTGGTCCAGCTACCTGAATGTGTGGTTCTGGCACATTCTAGCACTGGCTCGGGTATCAGGGCAATGAGGGAAGTCCCGGCTTCCAGGGAGGCAGGTGCCTGTAGCAGCAGGCCAGCTACTATGGGACTTGGCTATATTCTGTGTGCAATTTTGTTTCCCCCAAGCAAGCTTATAATGGAAATCACTATGGAAACAGCATGCATGTACCAGAAATCTATTTTTCACCTAAATTTTGTTTGAATGTTTTGTGTTTTAAATGTTTTGAACTGAAGAGTTAAGGCATATCTGATTTTAGAGATTCGTCTGTCATTTGTCGTTTCTGCCCCACTGAAATGGGGGAAACTAAAAAAGCATCCCATCAGTTCTTCAATCGTGAAAAATCACAAGCTTTCTAATACAATAATTTATAAAGTTATTCTACTAACTTGAACTTCTTTCTCAAATAGGAAGAAACGAAGCTGAGCTGTCTGACACGAAGAACAGGGTGCAATGATGCATTTTATCGAAGCGGAAAATAGGAACTATCCCCCCTGGCTAATACTGCTTCAGCATTTCTCACAGGACATTTTTCTTACTTGCGGGACTTCTTGTCCCTGGGAATAACATCATCACTGCTGGGTTGAGATCCTTCCCTATTTTGCAACTCAACTTTCAGAACAAGTATATTTAGATACTATATTTATAACCAAATGCTAAATTTATGGCCAACAAGCGGGCGGAAATCAGCTTCGCCCCCTTCCCCATAATTTACCTTTCTTAATTCAAGGAGCCAAATATAGTTTCTTCTTTGCCTCTTTCACTTTTAATTAATTAATTTGTCTTTCGCGAAATTACGGTGTTCTGACCCAGGTTATTCACCCAATGTATGTAAAAAGAAACCACCTTACATTTTAGGTGCTTGGGACATTGGATGACCTGGGCTATTTTAACCGTTCAGAAGCAGGTTTCCTCCCACCACACCCAGAATTATCGAGATCACCCCCTCAGTTTTCTGTCTGGGCTAGCTGTTCCCTCGCCCTTGGTAGAGGCTGCTGGTCAGCCCCTTCCAGGATTGACGCTGGTCGCCCCCAGCACCCTTCTTTCCCCTCTCGCGGCGCGCGGGCTCTAGGACCGTGAGGGCCGCGGGCGGGAGGCGGTGGCCCCTCCGAGCCCCGCCCCGGCCGAGCGCGGGGTGGAGCCGGCGCGGGAGTTCCCCGAGTCGCGCGCTCCGGAGCCGGGGAGGCATCCGCGGGGAGCGGGCGGTGCCGGCGCGGGGAGTGGGCGGGGCCCCGAGGGGGTGGGCGGGGCGCGCCGCCGGGCAGTGCAGCTGCCAGGAGGCCGGGCATTAGGGCCTCGGCGGAGCCCGCTCCCCAGCGCGCTGGGCGGGGTGTGCGGCGGGCGGCTTCGCGGGCAGGCGCGGGCCGCGAGGCAGCGGCTGCGCCCTGCGCCGGGGAGGAGCCGGGGGCGGGCAGGCAGCCGGCAGGCGGGGGCTGGGGCCCGCGGCAGGGAGTGCCGGAGCGCCGGCGGCGACGACGGCAGCGGCGGCTGAGCAGGGTCGGTGCGTGGGTCCGCGGCAGCTCGGGGTCCGCCCGCTGGCTGCGGTGCGAGCGGGCGGCCCGGCTGCCCTCCTCCCCCGCCCGCCGCCGCCGCTGTGATTGGGTGGAAGATGGCGCTGGGCGGATGGAAATCCTAATGACAGTCTCCAAATTCGCCTCCATCTGTACCATGGTAGGTGAGGCGGGAGGGCGCGGGCGGCCCTCGTTCCCGCCCTCGCCGCCCGCGGGGCCTAGCGCGGGGACCGTGGCCGGGAGGGGGCGGCGCGGGCCGGGCGGGGGCGGTTGGACGGCGGGGCGCAAGCAAGCGCGGAGCGGCCCCGGGAGGCTGGCGCGCGAGGGTGGCCGACGGGGGCGGCGCGGGTCGTCGGTGCCCGGGCTCGGCCGCGGGTCCCTGCGGCGCCGGGCTGTGGGCGCGCGAGCCGGGCCGCGGGCCCGGCCGGGGCCGGAGGTGGAAGTACACGAGCGGCGCCCCGTTTCCGTCCGGCGGCGCACGGGTTCGGGCCCGGCTGGCCGGGCCCGGAGGGTCCCCAGCGGGCGAGGGGCTGCGGCGGGAAGGCAGGGTCCCCTTACCGGCCGCGAGGGCACGGAAGTCGGCTCAGGTTTCC